TTGATGAATACATAGCTACAGGAGTTTGGAGAGCAAAAGAGAATCAGTGCTGGAGATATAAACTTAGGATTCATCCCGGTATAGATGGTATTCTAAGACTTGGGAAAGAATATGATCACATAGGGTCTATATGGGCTTCCCTGGTAGCTCAGCTAGCAAAGAATCCACCTGCAATGCAGGAGACCCCGGTTCAACTCCTGGGTCAGGAAGCTCCCCTGGAGAAGGGACAGGCTGCCCACTCCAGTATTCTTGGGCTTCCCTGGTGGCTCAGAAGGTGAAGAATCCACCTGCGATGTGGGAGACCTGAGTTCGATCCCTGGGTCAGGAAGAACCTCTGGAGGAGGGCATGGCAACCCACTCCAGTATTCTTGCCGGAGAAATCCCACAGACAGAGGAGCCTGGCAGGCTGCAGTCCATGGGGTCGCAAAAGAATCGGACATGACTTAGTGACTAAACACACACATACACACTCCTCAATAAATTACACAAAGCTTATCCCTGGTCAGGGAACTAAAATCTTGAATGCCACAAGGTGAGGCCACAAAATAAATTAATTAATAATAGAAAAAATGCTATATACAAATTACACAAACCTTAGGAATTCAAAGGATTTTCCCCACCTAGCCTCTATCTATTCTGAAGCTGAAAAGTACATATATTTTCTAGTCTTATCTATAGGTATGTCACCTAATGCTTAATAAGTCTGATTACACTACTTAATTACTTAATGTGCAAATTTCAAAATTGTTAAAGAAGAAAATTAATTAGGTACCATGGAGGACTCCATCTTATAACTTTTTCAAGGATGAGATTTGAAAATGCCTTATCACTTACATGGTTACCTGAGTATCATCTCCTTCTCCCCAGGCTCCCTCTAGAATATGTGTTTCATGTGTGGGGCAAGGACAGGTCTTTCTGGTTCAACTTTATATTCCCAATGTCCAGTATGTCGTATATGGTCATACAGTATGTGACCAAAACCTCCCAAGGAGAATTCTTCCTTCATTTTCCAGCAATGAGGATTCGTGGAATGGCAAATGAGCAGTGGTTGTAGCTTAAAATCATCAGCTGCATTAGCCCTAACAAGAGAGGCATCTCGTCCTTTAAAGACTTTCAAACCAAGCACTGACTTCTCCTATCTAGCCATGAAAGTCCTAGATGGTATCTTTTTCCAATTTTGCTGTTGTTCAGTTGCTCATTCATGTCTAATTCTTTTCAACTCCATGGATGGCAACATGCAGGCTCCCCTGTCCTTTACTGTCTCCCGGAGTTTGCTCAAATTCATGTACACTGGTCAGTGATGATGCTCTCTAACCATCTCATCCTCTGTCGCTCCCTTCTCTTCCTGACCTCAATCTTTTCCCAGCATCAGAGTCTTTCCCAATGAGTTGTCTCTTCACATCAGGTGGCCAAAGTACTGGAGCTTCAGCTTCAGCATCAGTCCTTCCAGTGAGTATTCAGGGTTCAGGGTTGATTTCCTTCAGGATGGACTGGTTGGATCTCCTTGCAGTCCAAGGAACTCTCAAGAGTCTTCTCCAGCACCACATTTCAAAAGCATCAATTCTTTGGTGCTCAATCTTCTTTATGGTCCAACTCTCACATCCCTACATGACTACCGGAAAAACCATTGCTTTGACTATACCAATCTCTGTCAACAAAATGATGTCTCTTCCAATAGAAGGCTGTTTTTATGCTGAAAATCCATTGTTTAGTGCAGCCACCTTTGTGGATTCTCTCCCCTCGGTTGTCTGGATAACTGGCTGCTGCTTCACCTTGCATTTATCTGTGATGGAAATGGCTTCTTTCCCTAAACTCCATGAGCCTCTGCCAGCTTCAGACTTGCCTTCTTCAGTCCCTCCCCGCTCTCAGCCCCCACAGAGCTGAGAGTCAGGGCCTGGCTCTAGATCAGGTCTGGGCTTAAAGGAATGCTGTGGCTGGCTTCGTCTTCCATCCAGACCACTCACAGTCTCTCCTCATCAGCAATAAGGCAGATTCGTTGTATTATCATTCATGTGTTCACTGAAGTAGTGCTTTTAATTTCCTTCGAGAACTTTTCCTTTGAATTTGCAACTTGGCCGACCGCGATGCAAAAGAGGTCTAGCTTTTGGCCTCTCTCAGCTTTAGACATGCCTTGCTCTCTAAGCCTAATCATCTCCAGCTTCCTGATTTAAAGTGAGAATCAGGCAACCCTGTCTGCCGTGGAGGTCACTGTAGGGCTATTAACTGGCCCAGTTTCAACGTTACTGTGTCTCAGGGAACAGGGAGCCCATGAGAGAGGGCGAGCTGGGGGAACAGCCAGTCATGGGGGGCAGTCAGAACACATACACCAGTCATCGATTAAATTCATCTTCTTACATGGGTATGATTTGCGGCACCCCAAGACAAAGAACAATAGTAACATCAAAGACCACTGATCACAAACCACCATAACAAATGTTGATACAACAATGAAAATGTTTGAAATGTGGCAAGAATAACCAAAAGGTGACCCAGAGACTTAAGAAAATTAGAGATACCAAGGGAATATTTCAAGCAAAGATGGGCACAATAAAGGACAGAAACAGTATGGACCCAACAGAAGGAGGAAATATTAAGAAGAGGTGGCAAGAATACACAGAAGACCTATACAAAACAGATCTTCATGACCTAGATAACCACCATGGTGTGATCAGTCACCTAGAGCCAGACATCCTGGAATGCAAAGTCAAGTGGGCCTTAGGAAGCATCACTACAAACAAAGCTAGTGGAACTGATGGAATTCCAGTTGAGCTATTTCAAATCTTAAAAGATGATGCTGTGAAAGTGCTGCACTCAATATGCCAGCAAATTTGGAAAACTCAGCAGTGGCCACAGGCCTGGAAAAGGTCAGTTTTCATTCCAATCCCTAAGAAAGGCAATTCCAAAGAATGTTCCAACTACCACACAACTGCACTCATTTCACACACTAGCAAAGTAATGCTTCAACAGTACATGAACCAAGAACTTCCAGATGGATTTAGAAAAGGTAGAGAAGCCAGAGATCAAATTGTCAACATCTGTTGGATCATAGAAAAAGCAAGAGAGTTCCAGAAAAACATCTATTTCTGCTTTATTGACTACACCAAAGCCTTCGACTATGTGGATCACAACAAACTGTGCAAAATTCTTCAAGAGATGGGAATTCCAAACCACCTTACCTGCCTCCTGAGAAACCTGTATGCAGGTCAAGAAGGAACAGTTAGAACCAGACATAGAACAGCAGACTGGTTCCAAATAGGAAAAGGAGTACGTCAAGGCTGTATATTGTCACCCTACTTATTTAACTTCTGTGCAGAGTACATCATGTGAAATGCCGGGCTGGATAAAGCACAAGCTGGTATCAAGATTCCTGGCAGAAATATCAAAAACCTCAAATATGCAGAAGACACCACCCTATGGCAGAAAGAAAGGAGGAACTAAAGAACCTCTTGATGAAGATAAAAGGGGAGAGTGAAAAAGTTGGCTTAAAGCTCAACATTCAAAAACAAAGATCATGGCTTCTGGTCCCATCACTTCATGGCAAATAGATGGAGAAACAATGGAAACAGTGACAGACTATTTTTTCGGGCTCCAAAATCACTGCAGCTGGTGACTGCTGCCATGAAATTAAAAGACGCCTGCTCCTTGGAAGAAAAGCTACGACAAACTTAGACAGGGCATTAAAAAGCAGAGACATTACTTGGCTGACAAAGGTCCATCTAGTCAGTTCAGTTCAGTTCAGTCGCTCAGTCGTGTCTGACTCTTTGCGACCCCATGAACCACAGCACGCCAGGCCTCCCTGTCCATCACCAACTCCCGGAGTTTACTCAAGCTCATGTCCATCGAGTCGGTGATGCCATCCAGCCATCTCATCCTCTGTTGTCCCCTTCTCCTCCTGCCCCCAATCCATCCCAGCATCAGGGTCTTTTTCAATGAGTCAACTCTTCGCATCAGGTGGCCAAAGTATTAGAGTTTCAGCTTCAACATCAGTCCTTCCAATGAACACCCAAGCTATGGTTTTTCCAGTAGGCATGTATGGATGCGAAAATTGGACCATAAACAAAACTGAGCACTGAAAAATTGATGCTTTTGAACTGTGGTATTTGAGAAGATTCCTGAGAGTCCCTTGGACTGCAAGGAGATCCAACCAGTCCATCCTAAAGGAGATCAGTCCTGGGTGTTCATTGGAAGGACTGATGCTGAAGTTGAAACTCCAATACCTTGGCCACCTCATGCAAAGAGCTGACTCATTGCAAAAGACCCTGATGCTGGGAAAGATTGAAGGCAGGAGGAAAAGGGGATGACAAAGGATGAGATGGTTGGATGGCATCACCGATTCAATGGACATGAGTTTGAGTAAGCTCTGGGAGTTGGCGATGGACAGGGAGGCCTGGTGTGCTGCGGTCCATGGGGTCTCAAAGAGTCAGACATGAATGAGTGACTGAACTGACTGACTGACCCAGAGACATGAAGTGAGAGGATACTCCTGGAAAAACGGCCCTGAGAGACTTGCCAGGGGCAGGGTTGCCTCAAACCTTCCATTTGCAAAAGAAAAAAAAAAAACAAAAAAACACAGTATCTGTGAAATGCAATATGACGAAGCACAAAAACAGGAAGGATCCTGCTGTGTCTGGGCTGAGAAACCCCACCTGGAAACACAAGGCGTTCACATTGGAAGAAAACTCACACATCACAATACGACTCTCTCATTTTATTAATGGGTAAACTGAGGCCCAGAACACGAAGCAACTTGTCCACAGATGGAATAAGGAAGTGGCAGAGCTGAATACTCGGAGTTCCCCTGCCAAGGCTAGAGTTCGGGCTGCTGAACCCTGAGACCCCACGGTGGGAAAGCATGATGGATTCAACAAGCTGCCAAGGTGAGAAAAAGAGGGCCTCTGTCCCCACCCCCGACGGCAAACACGATTCCCGCCATCAGAGCCAGAGATGGCCACGCAGTGGCAGCTGGCTGAGAGCCGCCTCTAACGCGGGCACTCGGGACAATGCCTGTTCCCAGCACTGAACGCCAAATCACTGCGATTAGCCGTGCCGTGCCCCCCAGCCGACTTCACCCTGGGCTAGTGGCCCAGATTGCGGAGAACGCGTCCTCTGCCTCTAAACGCCTTGGCATCCACGGCGGTGTCCCCTGCTCTCCCTGGAGCAGGGCGTCCCGGGCTCTGGCCGCAGGCTATCTCCTACCTGCCATCGCCTGGCCTGAGAGTCCCGGAACAAAGAGATGGGGGTAGGCAGTGTTCCCCACCCTCTTCCAGCAGCTCTGCCCACCAACCTAGCACCCTCTCTCATCCCCAGAGGGGCGCTCCCCTTGACTGGAGCGACGAAGGGACGAGGGGGACGTACCGATCACTACCTGAAGCATTTATTAAAAGCTGGAATCAAGAGCTTGTCTACAGGGCTCCTGCAGAAACTGGGCCTCTTGCATACTGACGGTTAACAGAACTGCTACCCATACCTGTTTACGCATTTTGTGGATTTTTCCATCAGAAACCAATTTTAGGAAATCAGTTGAGTTGGAAACATCTGTCATTCCCAGTTCCTCATGGTGACCAGGAACCCATTTTGCATCTAGATTTGGAATTCCCAAGTCAACAAAAGCAATGTGCTTTAAGAAAGAAAAAAAAAAAAAAAGCAGTGTGCTAGGCGGCTGGAATTAAAACAACCAATTTTGTCCAAGACTCTGCCATTTGCAGAGCATTCCCTAATCTTCACTGAAACTGTGCAACCATCCAGAGAGGGATGAAGAAAAGAGGTTTTTTCCTTAATTCTTTCTGATTTGCAGGTGCTTTTTAAGAAATATTTATTTATTTGACTGTGTCGGGCCTTAATTCCAGCACTTGGGATCTTCCATCTTCACTGTGCCATGTGGAATTTTTAGTCGCAGCATGTGGAATCTAGCTCCCTGACCAGAGATGGAACCCAAGCCCCCTGAATTGGAAGTTTAGAGTCTCATCCACTGAACCACCAGGGAAACCCAAGCAAGGATTTTTAACAAATGAGGATCTGCACTCTGAGGGCATGATGATTTATCCAAAATCACCCACCTGGTCAGGGGAAAGCTGAAGTTCAGATTCAGGCCTTGTAATTCTCCGCACACATCCTGGTGGACCTGACCAAGGTCCAGCCGACTGGGTTATTCCTTGCCCACTGTGACCGCCAACAACTCTTTAGTAAAAGCTCAGGGCTTCAAACAAGAGTTTGAAGTCCACCCCCTCCAGATCAGCTTTCCACCTTTCTTTGGGCCCTTAGAGGCCAACAAGTGCCCGCCTCCATCCTCTGACCAGGCCTGGTCAACGGGAAGCCTACGGAGGAGTGAGGAGACAGCACGTTCACCAGGAGCCCTGTTCCCTCAGCCCGAGGTCAGGGTTCTCCCCAGACAGCCCTCTGTCTCCACCGCACTCTCCCCGGGATTCTGGTAACCGCTCCCTCCCCACATCCCCGATGATCAAAATCTGCAGTTTGTCAAAAGGTGGTCAAAAGCCAAGAGGGAAAGGACCCAGGACAGAGGGTGGGGAGGTCCCAGAGCACAGATGCGGTGGCTGTACCGTTAAAGAGGGCCACCCGGAAGGACTTCACCATGAAGGTGATGTCTGAGCCAAGGCCTAAAAACAAGTCAATGGTCAAGCCGTGCAGGTATCTCTGGGCAGAATTCTCCAGCCTGCTGAGCTGGAGCACCTGCAAGCGCAGCTGGAGCGGCTGCACCGGGGCTGGTCCAGGCACGAGTGGACTGCTGTCCCGGGCGGTGGGCTGGATTCAGGAGAATGCAGGCAGGGCAGGAGCCAGAGAGAGCAGGATGAGGGCGACCATGGCTCCGCACAGTGAACCCCTGACTCGGAGAAAAATAGCACCAGGGACAGACTCTGGAGGAAGGTTCTGGCTCAGCTCTCTGATCGTGAGTGGACTCAGCCCCCCGACATCACTTCCCCAGAGCTGCCCCCACTGCTCTGGAACCCTCACCGCTTGACTTGTCCACCCTTCCTTAACCACTGCCTCTCATTCCATACATATTTATCATTCACTGCCTCTCTCAGTCACTAATCTTTAAAGTGCATGAAAGAGGCTTCCCGGAGATTCAGTGGTTAAGACTTCACCTTCCAATGCTGGGGGTTGTGGGTTCAGTCCCTGGTCGGGGAGCTAAGCTCCCATATGCCTTGTGGCCAAAACACCAAAACATAAAACAGAAACAATATTGTAACAAATTCAATAAAGGCTTTTAAAAAGCATTGTCTGCATCAAAAACAATCTTAAAAAAAAATTAAAAAGTAAAAAACATGCATGGAGACAGAGATCTTACCAGTCATGATCAAAGCCATAGCCCCAAGATCCAGTAGAAGGCTTTCCTCAAAGCAGGCACTCAATAAATGTTTGTCTCATGATGCATAAAAGAGTGGACCGATGAACGCACAAACTACTATTATGGCTGACAGCTAATTTTTTTTCTTTTCCCCCAAAGACTTTTCATTCCCGTCCCGATGAAATTAAAGGCAAGAACTACCACTCTACCCCCGAGAAGAAAGCATATCTTTTAAGCATTCAGGGTCCAGGAGTCAACAAAGCGTTTGGCACACAGTAGGTGCTTTATAAACATTCAATGACTTGACCAGTAGCCTGAAGTGAGCGAGAAAGCGTTCGCCTCCAAACCCATCCCACAATGTGTAAAGGCCACAACAGATGCTCTCGAAACAGGAGGCTATGTTTCGGTTGCCTTCTCTGCCCATTCTTTCCCATTTAAGACTCTGCCCCATACATCAGAAGAATCCACATTGTGTGAAAGAGGATTAAAACTGTTTCAGCAGAAATGAAAGGAGAAATGAATGAGGTTCCCTTTTTCCTTACTTCAAAAGGAAGCTCTTGAATATAAATGGGAGGCCCTGAGGGGGAAGAACGTGAAGCGTAAGCCGTAATAAGGGTACAAGCAGAGGACAGAGAAATTATCGAGAGCTCCATCCCCATCGGGGTGGCCGAGGGCACTCAGCGAGACTGGGAGCCCAGACCTGGGGGGGCACCAAGAATAGGATCTGAGTCAGCAACAAGAGGGCTGTGGAAGCCAAGGCCACCCCTGCAGACCACCCACCGCCAGCAGCTTTATCCACAGAAGACCCTCACAGGGAACAAACACCCGAACGGCCATCAACAAGGATACGAGCAACCAGATGTGGCGTGTCCACACAGTGGAATACCTGTTTGTTGCTGTTTAGCTGCTAAGTCGTGTCTGACTCTTTGAGACCCCCGTGGACTGTAACCCGCCAGGCTCCTCCGTCCATGAGACTTCCCAGGCAAGAACACCACAGTGGGTTGCCACCGCCTTCTCCAGGGGATCTCCCCGACCCAGGGATCGAACCTGCATCTCCTGCATTAGCAGACAGATTCTTTCTCGCTGAGCCCCCAGGGAAGCCCACCATGGAATACCACTCAGCAGTGAAAATAAGCGAACTGTGACACGTGCTACGATAAGCCAAGTTCAAAGCTGAGCACTGAACTTGACACTGAGCCAAAGAAGGCAGACGCCAAAAAAAAAAGTACACTTGGTATGGTTCCACTCTCATGAAATTCCAGAAGATGCAAAGCTAATCTATGGTGAAAGAAATGGGAACAGTGGTGGCCCCTGGGATGGCAGGTTTGGGGGAGGAAGGCCTCATAGGAGAGGAGGGGGAACGTCCTGGGATAATGGAAATGCTCTGTACCTCGACAGCTGTGTGTTACACAAGCGCATGCCTTTGTCAAGACTGATCAGTCCACACACTTTGGACCTGCGCATTTCACTATATGTAAGTGACACCGTAATTTTTTAAGTAGCTGTTTTAACTGTTTATTTGTTTGGCTCTCCCGGGTCTTAGCTGGTGCATGTGGGATCTTTAGTTCCAGCATGCAAGCTCTCAGTTGCGCGGCATGTGGGATCTAGTTCCCTGACCAGGGATGGAACCCAGTTCCCCTGCATTGGGAGCATGGAGTCTTAGCCTCTGGACCACCAGGGAAGTCCCTCGGAGGTTTTTTCAAGAACATGGGCTTTGGAGCCAGGCAGATGAGCCCCTGGTGTTTCAGCCACACGAGCCAACAGCTTCTCCTCTGCGGTGAGACCCAGTCTGAGCCGCAGTGAGTGAACGCCAGCTCCTCCTCACCTCTGCGCTCCCAGCGCCTTGCAGAGGGCGTGGCATAGATCCGGGGCTCAGCAAACGGTATCGAATGAACCAGTCAAAGCGAGGCTAGACGTATGGCCTGGAAGCATTTTTTGGAGTGAACTTTATTTCCACCAATAAAATCTGACCTAAAGCAAATGAAGGACTAATGCTGAAGCTCCAATACCTGGAGCCCCCTGATGCAAAGAGCCGACTCCTTGGGAAAGATTCTGATGCTGAAGATTGAGGGCAGGAGGAGAAGGGGATGACAGAGGATGAGAGGGTTGGATGGCATCACTGACTCAATGGACATGAGTTTGAGCAAACTCCAGACAGTGAAGGACAGGGAAGCCTGGCGTGCTGCCATTAATGGGGTCGCAAAGAGTCAGACACCACTGAAGTGAACAACAACAGAGCGAATGAAAGTGATTCCGCAGACATTTAGATGTTCATCGCTTACAGAAAACTGTTTCCTAATCTAAGGATAAGCTGAAGTCCCTGAAATCCACCTGGATTATTTCTTTGTTCTGTATATAGCCATGGAGCACCTCTGGTGTGCCAGCTGCTTGAGAAAGGGGTAAATAATGCAGACACCAGACCCGGTCCCTGCCCCCATGGAGCTTGCGTTCTGGTGGGGGAGACAATAAACACGTAAATGAAACTCGGATAGGAGATTATTTGGGGGACTGATCAGAGCTCTCAGGACAAGAAAGCAGAAGCTGTGAAAGAACGTGATGTGGGGGAGGGTTGCTCTGGATGCAGGCGCGCGAGGCCGCCTGAGGAAGACACACCTGAGCTAAGACCAAAGGATGAGGAGGGCTGGCGCTACAGCTTTCCAGACGGCTAGAGCATGAGCAGGAGGTCTCGAGGCTGAGCCTCTGAGATTCTGAAGAGCCCAGCTTGTATAATTAATGGAAAGACCTAGAGCCCTTCAGCCTGGCTCTGTGGCTCGCTTGCTGTGCAATCTCCACAAATCTCTTGCCCTCTCTGTCTTTGTCTCCTTATCTGAACACTCAGAGAGGGTCTGCAAACCGTCTCTAGGCGTCTTCCCGATTATGATCATCCAAGGGTACCGGACGGGACACTTGCAAAGCACCTCCTGTGCCCTCTCACGGTTCTGGGTCCAAAAGGACAAAAGACAAGGGGACTGAGTCCACCCAGGCGGTGGCCTCTGGGGCCAAAGGGATTAGCTCTGAGGCTCTGACAGCTCCTCTGCTGCAAAATGAAGACATTCCCGCGTCTCCCACCCCTGTCCAAGAAAACAAGGTGGCAGAAACCCAGAGGACTCCACACAGCTATCGGCCGCCCTCCGACTGGCTGCAGCCTTGGAAATAAATGGTCCTGTCAGCTCCGAGGAGGGTGAGCTCAGGATTTCAAATGAAAATGAAATAAGAGGGAACGCAGCCCAGAAGCAATGCAAAGTAACGACAAGGGCACGGAAATCTTCCACTGCAGCAAGACGGATGCAGAGAGCCGAGCAACGGGGTGCTGACCTCGGACATGGGGATACAGGGGAAACGAGCTGATGCCCCGGGCTGGCGGGGAGCACCTGAGTCTCGGGGAACCCATGGGCTGGCTGGGGGACCCGGTCCTGGCTTGTAGGGCTGCTGTTTTCCTGACCCAGCCCCACTCCATCCTCCTCTTGCTGAAGCCGCCTTATCCTCCTGGGGGTCTGCAGGGCAAAGACCTCCAGGGCCTGACCTGCAGGGCCGCCTAACCCCCAACCCTGTGCCGGGGCAAGGGAGCCTCAAGGCTCACAATTCCCAGCAGGAGGTGGCAGGTTCCCATGCCAGGCAATGAGACAGACGACACAGATGATTTTAAAAAACCATCGTCTACCGGCACCTCCAGTCCTGCTAAGCCCCAGGTTCCAGAGTCATTCTGTGGACACGGCAATCATGGCTTCTTGTTTTCTGGCCGTGTCCTATCCTGAGAAGTGACTTACCTGTTCCCTTGTCTCTAAATCGGAGGAAATAATAGCACCAACCATGCAAGGTCATTGTGAGAATTTAATGTTAAAAAAAAAAATCTGAGAACAGTTTCTGGCACATAGTCAGTGGTCTCAACAAGCTAGTGTATTTTAATTTTTGTACTGTTTATATAGTCACATTAAGTATGTTGCTATACATACAAGGAAAGCAACATAGTACCAGCCAAGTCCAAAGAGCCATCTAAGGTCACTGATGCGAAGAAACTGCAGCGTGGATTCACGGCCGACAATCGCCTGACTCTCCCCCCCTCCCCATCCACCCAACAATCTGGAGCAACGACACCCAGCCTCCCTCTGAGCCTTGCTGAGCCTCTGCCAGGGTACAGCGCTCTGATGAGCTGCCTCTCCTCTTAGAAGAGAACAAGTTGGAAGCAAGAGTTAAAATCTCAGATGCCCGCAGGGGCCAGGAAGGTAAAGCAGAGGCGTTTAAAAGGGAGCCAGCGTTAGCCATCAAGGAGCGGCGGCGACTGCGGCAGACTAGAGAACCCACGTCTCCTCGGAGGGAAAACGCTGCTGCCGTCTCTAGCCAGCTCTGGCCAGGGAGGAATGTAGGTCCAGGGCTGGCACATCTTTTAGTTTTCAAGGGAAGCCAGAAATCCAGATTTTTGTGTGCGATCTCCTGATGTTAAATATCGGCACATAATTCCTTATTTTTTAAAAACGTGGAAGCCCTAGCAAGATTCATCTGTTTGCACCCAGTTAAGTTGAGGGGCAGC